GGTCATGGGACGGTCAGGTACATGCCGGCACTGTCTGGCCACAGAGGGGAGCCAGAGGAGGGCCTCCAGCATGTGCCACTTTGGGGAAGAGACACCAGCAGCTTCTCCTCTTGCCCACCGCCTTACTGTGCTCCCATTAGCCAAACACAGGAGAAAGCCCCTCCCCAGCAGGGAGCTGGTGCTGTGCGTGTGAAGGAAGAGGAGGAGCCAGCTGCGGAGTGGAGGATGATGAGGGAAAGGAGCCCGCTGATGATGGCAGCGGAGGAGCAGCAAGGCCTACGTGTCCCTACTTGCCTCTGTCACGGCAGGTGCTCAGTGACTGCAGTCCTAGTGTATCCGCCTTCTACTTAGGTGTTAGGTTTCCCTTTGAGGTCACTCCTGAGCATCCCACCCCAGGATGGTGCCATCCTTAGGCCATTTCTTGTTGGCACATTCACTTCACTGTTGCTGTCCTCTCCCTCCCTGTCCTGTGTGCTTTTACGTACGTTTTGCTTAGACTGTGCCTTCCCAAAGGTGTCATGATTCGTTTGTTCCCAGTGCCCTGTAAGCACAGGTGCTCCAGAGCATCTGCTGTTTAGTGATCAATTCAGGTAACTGGCCCTAATCACAAAATTGTGCAGTTAAAACCTAAAGCCATAGTTCCTGTGACTTTGAAGGGCGAACTGGGTAGTCGGTCCCACTCGTGGGCATATATCCAGAGGAAATGAAGTCAGTGAGTCGAAGAGGCCTCTCATCTCCGTGTGCACTGCAGTCCTCCTCGGAGCAGCTGAGGTCAGGTGATCAACCTGAGTGTCCATCCCTGGATGCATGGATAAGGACCCTGTGGTCTGAGCCCCCCGCAGAGACCCAAATCCTGTGACGCTCAAGTCCCTGACTGTATCCTGTTTTCATAAAAGCTGTGCAAGCTTTCCATATACTTTCTGTCGTATCTAGATAGCTTACCATAGTTAATACGATGTGAGTAACGTGGTTACACCGTGCTGTTTAGGTAACGATGATGAGGGGAACGTGACAGGCCCAGGTATACAGCACACTCCCAATTCGAGATTGGGCAAGTCCGCAGAGGGCCGAGTCACGTTGCCAGAGCGCTCCTTAAGGTGCACAGCATGTGTGTGCGTGCGTGCACGCGTGTTTTCATCCTGTGAGCAACACTGGGAGGTGACAGCTCCTGAGGTAACGCGATACCCAGTGTCACCCTGCTAGTGGAAGGAGTAGATTCAGACACAGCTGTTGCATCTTCTTCCTGGTAGCACGTTAATGATTTTCCTAACATCCGCATGTACTTAGGCCACGTTCTGATGTAAGTCATCGGACGGGCAGGTCTCGCAGGCACGAAATGTGGATGTCCCCCTTGGCACCGCAGAAGGAGGAGTGGGCACCAGAGGTAGTGGTGGCCCCAGCCCTGCTCTTCCCCTTATTGTAGCCGTTGAGGTTCTCAGAGAAGCACACATCTGTCCCTGAGCCCGAGAGACACCCATGTGCTGTTTGCCCTGGGCATCCACAGTTTCACCGTGAAAACCAAGGGACCTATGTGGAACCCACAGCCATTCTCCCTGCTGCCAGCCGGCCAGCCAGGTGTGTCAGATCTCATTGTATTTCTATGATGTTTAACGATTGGAGCTTCACAAATGACGAAGGAAGTCTTGAGATAGAATTGGCCCCTTTCCTGGTAAATTTTAATTGATTCTAGTACCTGTAAAAGGTGTGCTTTGGGTTCTCCAAGAGTGGAGATTAATTATGCTTCAAAATGAGTTCTAGAGAAGTGCTCAGATTCACACCCAGGGAGGAGAGAGGGAGAGCTCCAGCAGAATTGTGGGAACTGACTGATGGGAAAATGGGCTTCTAGTGCTGAGGATTTGGGAGTCCTGCCAGTAATGCAAGGTGTGAATTAGCCTTGTGGGCACTCGGAGGAAACAGAGGAACTGCCAGCTGCGAGGCTCTGAAAGGATCTCTGGAGAGCCCAGCATCCTGTCCTGACAGGAACAGGGCGGTTCTCAACCCTTAGCTCTGTGCTTTGGGCTGCCCTTCCTCCTGTGCCGATAAAGCAGTTAGAGACAGGAAGACGGTTTCGTTCTTTGGGAACAGGTGTTTAAAAGTCGGCCACTTCAGGGTGGGGTGAGTGAGAACATGGGTGACAACGTCTGTGGTTTCTTCTTGACTTGGCAGCTTGGTGCTTCTGTTATGGACTGGGAAACGAGAGGTCAAGGACATGGAGTGTGAGGCAGCAGAGTTACGTCAGTGTGAAATGGAAAGGTCCCAGATCTGAAAGTCCAAAGTGCTGTGAGTCTCAAACCTGCTGTGTTTAACTAGTAAAATCCAAGAAGATACTAAAAATCTAGAAAACTCCCAAATCTGAATTATTGATATACTCCTGATAACAAGCATTTCAGATAAGGGATATTCAACCTCCATGTGCGTATTGTACATTTTGTATCACGCTTAGAAATTCCTTTCCTACTCTGAATGTATTTATTTAAAATATTCTTTCATGTTTTTCTCACCAAGCCAGGTAGATAAAACAGGGCACAGTCCCTAGGACAGCTCCCAGCAGGGCCTGATGTTGGGCCCGTTTCTCACCTCTAGTCCCACCAGCAGGTAGCCCATGGGCTCTTCTCCCTGCCCAGTGCTCCAGGTGTGCTGGGCCTCCATCCTGTCCCCCTCCGGGCTGCCAGGCAGGGGGTGGGCTTCAAGCCCCCAGGCTTGTTACCTTCAGCTGCAAGCGGCAGGGGCTCAGTCCTGTCTTGTGAACTGGAACAGGGCAGGAGATGCAGCCGTGAGACCTTGAATTCCAAGTTTTTCAGCAGTGGAAAGTGGAGCTGGGGTGGTTCCCTGGTAGAACCACCTTCTCACAGTTCTGAGGAATAGCGTAGCAGGCAGGGCCACAGACGTGCAGAATTGTGAACAGTGCACCTGGGTCTCCTTGGGGCCTCTTCTTTCACAGGAGCTCGTGGGTGATCTTCCGAAGCTGTTGAAGATGTGCTGCTCTGTGGGTGTATGGGTGAGTTCCGGATCTTTCTGTCTCACGCAGTCCCCAGCACAGTGCTTAGCTCAAAAAGGAGTTGGACATATGAATGACAAAATATCAGTTTCTGGAGTAACTCGAGGTAGTTCTGGGCAGGGCTGTGTCTGGGTTGGAGGCTCTGTGTTTCTGTCTCTCTGCCAGAGCCTGTGTTGCTCCTCCATGGCCTGCTGGGCTTCTCCCACTGTGCCTGGTGCACACTCTGCTAGAATGCTGAGCAGCCGAAGTGCCCTGGTGGCCCTTTTTGCAGTGATCTGAAGCACGTGGCCAAGTTCAGTAGTCATGTGAGCCCAGATCTGCAGATAGAGGCTGTACATTTGTTTTGAGAACACTAAAGTTTCCCTAGAAACAATGAGTATTTAAATTCACTGTTGGCTTTGGCTCTTTTTCCTGATTATTTGTTTGTTGGCCCTTTTAAAGCTATCTTTACATAAGGTAACATTCCTGCTTTTACTGTAAAGTCTGAGTTATAGTGGACACATACAGTCCTGTAACCACTGTATACTATGTCAGTGCAATAAAGAGACACGATAATTTCATCATTTCCCAAATCCCATTTGTGCCTCGTAGTCTTGTAGTGAGTGACTCCCCCCACCCCGGCCTCCATTCCTTTGTGTCTGGCAACCACTGACCAGTTTCCTGTTTTCATGTGCCTTCCTTTTTGAGAAAGCATATTTGCTTATTTATTTATTTATTTATTTATTTATTTATTTATTTATTTATTTATTTATTCCATGTGTGTGTGTGTGGTGCTAGGAACTGAATTTAACAGGGCCTTTGCACCTGCCCACCCCCACCCCTTTTGAGACAAGGTCTTGCTAATTGCCCAGGTGAGACTTGATCCTCCCTGCCTCAGCCTCTCAGGTGCTGGAATCGCAGGTGTGTGTAACACTGATCGCAATATACTTTTTAAGTCTGGCTGGCATACTGCATCTGTGGTTCACCCTTTTTTGCCTACAGAAATAGCATATTCCTTTTTATTGCGGAGTCGTGGCCCCTTGTGTGAATATGTTTCAATTTATCCATTCACCACTGGAAGGATGTTGGGTTTTTCCGGTGTGTTAGAGTACCTCTACTTATCTGTGGGTTTCATTTCTGCGGTGTCTGTTACCCTCAGCAAAATTCAGTAGATACTTTGAGAAAGAGAAACCACATTTATATGACCTTTATTGTAATATACTATTATAATTATTTGAGTTACTGTTCTGAATCTTTCTACTTTATTCTATATTTAACGCAATACATGTAGATGTTAATAGAGAAAATGCAAAAGAGCACTCTTCTTACTTCTATGAGAAAACAAAGTTCCTTTTAAAAAACTAGAGAGTAATAATACACTGTGTACCGTAACCTTGAAGAGTGACTGTCTAACTTATCGTGGATCTTTATCACAGAAGGATGTGTATGACAAACCATGCATAGCCTTGGCACTAGCCACAGTCCCAGGCGCCCACTGGGAGGCATGCAGTGTGCTCCACATGCTCAGTGGGGGCTGCCGTGCTGGTGCCCTGTCTCCAGCTGTGGTTTTTGGGGAGCGTCACAGAGTTGTCAAGGCACTGAGCAGGCGTGTCTGCGTGTCTTCGAGAGCAAAGCTTTGGACACAAGTGGTGGTGGTGATGGTGGTGGTGTCACTGTGCCTAAGTCTGGTTGGCGCCTCACCATGCCTCCGTCCTTAATTATTCCCTGCTGCTCTCCCCTGGGAGTGACAGACCTTCTTTGATGTTGAAGCCAATTAGAAATGTTACAAGAAGATTTCTCTGAAAGCTCAGAATCCAAACTAAACCATCCCCATATGCTGTTTTTACTTCAGAGACAGTTGGAGGATAGTGAGGATTTCTGTTGAGAATCTGGGAACACTCCTTATCAGTGGGGCCAGGGAGGAAGGGAGGGAAAGAACACATTGGACACATGGATTTTGGACAGGCTAGGAAAGGAGGCACCTGAGTCTGGTTCTCATGTCTGCGTGCTGTCACTCAGGCGGGTCTGCCCTCGAGGACTGGACTGGTTCATAAGAGAGCAAGCCTGCCTTTCTCTGGTCTCCTGCTTCCTGCTTTACCATGGTCTCTCCCTCTTGAGTTTGTTCCTGCCATGATGCCATCTGCCATATTGTAATGGAGCCAGAAATTCTTCACCAGAAGTGAAACAGATGACCGAATCTTGGGAATTTTCACCTCTGCAACGCTGAATTGAATAAACTTCTGGACTCAGCCCCAGCTCTTTTGTTACAGTATTGGGAAATGGGGTAAGACAAACTCGCAGGAGTCTTTTTTTTTTTTTTTTTTTTTTTTTTTTTTA